AAAATTGACGTTGACATTCTTAACCGGAAGTTGACCATAACTTCATTAATATTGAAGATAAATATGTCGTGTTTGTACTCATTTTAAAGGATTTTTAATGAAGATTACAAATATGTCAAAATTGGGATTGACATTTTAAACCTGAAGTTAGTTATCATACAATAGAAGTTTTATAAGTGAAATTAATCGAGTGTTAGTCACTTTCTTTTTATATTTAATGTGTTTTTTGGGTCATTTCACATCGATTAAGAAAAATCGTCGATTTTTAAGCCACATGATGATTCTTGAATTTTTACCAAAAATTTTTAATTTTGACATATTTAACTTTAATATTAATCGAAATACAATCACTTCCGGTTTGAAATGTCAATGTCAATTTTGACAAATTCGTCATCTTCATTAAAATACCTTTAAAATGAGTCCAAAGATGACGCACTTATCTCAAAAAACAAAAATATTAGAATAAAAAACATTAAACCCGAAGTTGGCAACAATGAAGATAGCAATTTAATTTTTAAATATTAATAATTAATACCAACCTTAATTTTTTACATTTTTATGTTATATTTTTGTTTTTGTGACAAATATTAAGACATTTTATAAAAATTAAGAATATGTCAAAATGACATTGACATTTCAAACCGGAAATTGCTTATATCTCGAGTAATATTGGACTTAAACGTATCATGTTTGGACTCATTTTAAAGGATATTTCACGACGATTACCAATATGTTAAAATTGACATTGACTTTCTTAACCGGAAGTTGACCATAACTTCATTAATATTGAAGATAAATATGTCGTGTTTGTACTCATTTTAAAGGATTTTTAATGAAGATTACAAATATGTCAAAATTGGGGTTGACATTTTAAACNATTTTTTATTTTTTTTTATTATATTTTTGTTTTTGTGACAAATATTAAGACATTTTATAAAAATTAAGAATATGTCAAAATGACATTGACATTTCAAACCGGAAGTTGCTTATATCTCGAGTAATTTTGAAATTAAACGTATCATGTTTGGACTCATTTTAAAGGATTTTTCACGACAATTACAAATAAGTCAAAATTGACGTTGACATTCTTAACCGGAAGTTGACCATAACTTCATTAATATTGAAGATAAATATATCGTGTTTGTACTCATTATAAAGGATTTTTAATGAAGATTACAAATATGTCAAAATTGGGGTTGACATTTTAAACCTGAAGTTAGTTATCATATATTAGAAGTATAACTGAAGTTAATCTAGCGTTGGTCACTTTTCCGCTTAAATTTGTACATTCCAGCTTTCTTTCGGCAATTTTGCAATCAATCCAATGCATTTAAAAAGAATTACTTTAAAGTCGTTAGTGTTCCAGTGCGAGTCTAGTCTTTTTCTTACAATTTGTAATCACCTTACTGCAATTTCAAACATTTCCAGATTGTTGAATATTTTTATCGAGTAAAAATAAAATTAACACTAAACCTAGAAGTAGAATCATTCATGTTTAGCCGTCTTAAGTAACGAAGGGCTAAACCTGAATGAATCTAGTTCTAGGTTTAGTGTTAGATTTAGTTGTTCCGCAAATATCAAAGGTTAAATTGCAATTGCGGACTCATATTTCTCCGTGTGTAACTGTGTAAGCGAGTAAACTGAAAGGTTAAAGGTCACAAAAGCACCATAAACGCTATTAAATTATACAAAACTAACAGTATTTTTGTGTATAATCGATATCGAATATCAAATTTTTATTTTATCGATGAGTTTATTCGAGAGTGAAATGTATTTTTAGAAAATTGCTTTAGATTGTCGCGTTGATTTCCGAGAATTCCGTACGTAATATTGATCCTAAGGTATCACATCAATAATTCTTCGAAAAAGTATCTTCGAAACGACATTTTTCAATTTACGTAATAATAAGACGATTTTTTCGTATCTTTTAAAAATCGGTGGCATTTTTCACGACGGGGAAAAAATAAAAAAAATAAATACATCGTGAGGTTGGAATTTCTGCATTTCCCCGCGTAATAAGACTAATGGTCTGTAATTTTTCTCGCCAGATTGCTTCTGGTGCCAGCGAAGGCCACCGGAATTAGTCGAGTCCAAGTTTTTTCTACCCGTGGACTTCGTTTCTTTATTTCTCTTTTCGCGCACTTTTCCAACTCGCTCATTTCTTTTTCTTTTTTTTGTTTTGTTTTGCGTACGTTCGTTGTGTGAATAGCACGCAACGAATGGAAATTTTCAAACGGTCGGTTTTCGCTTTGTTTTGTAGCTTCGCGTTGACCTGCAGCAGCAGCAGGATACCGGAAGTAAAGTGTCGTTGCAAAGCCTCAAAAAAAAATACCCAAGGGTAATAGGAAGTTGAACATAAATTTTAGGTTACAAGAATTGTACCGCGTTATGTATCACTTGACTAAGCGACAAATAAACAATGACAGCTATCATCTTTCTAAAAATATAAGACTTCTCAGAATAGACAAGCTCAAACTATTTGGTGCATGTCTATTTTTATCACAGAACACTGATGACAGCTATCACAAGCACAGTTTCTATAAATGAAAATAAAAAGTGACTAACACTCGATTAACTTCACTTATAAAACTTCTATTATATGATAACTAACTTCAGGTTTAAAATGTCAACCCCAATTTTGACATATTTGTAATCTTCATTAAAAATCCTTTAAAATGAGTACAAACACGACATATTTATCTTCAATATTAATGAAGTTATGGTCAACTTCCGGTTAAAAAAGTCAACGTCAATTTTGACATATTTGTAATCGTCGTGAAAAATCCTTTAAAATGAGTCCAAACATGATACGTTTAAGTCCAATATTACTCGAGATATAAGCAACTTCCGGTTTGAAATGTCAATGTCATTTTGACATATTCTTAATTTTTATAAAATGTCTTAATATTTGTCACAAAAACAAAAATATAACATAAAAATGTAAAAAATTAAGGTTGGTATTAATATTTAAAAATTAAATTGCTATCTTCATTGTTGCCAACTTCGGGTTTAATGTTTTTTATTCTAACTTTTTTGTTTTTTGAGATAAGTGCGTCATCTTTGGACTCATTTTAAAGGTTTTTTAATGAAGATGACGAATTTGTCAAAATTGACGTTGACATTTCAAACCGGAAGTGATTGTATTTCGATTAATATTAAAGTTAAATATGTCGAGTTTGGACTCATTTTAAAGGATTTTTTATGAAGATTACGAATATATAATAAAATTAAAGTTGACATTGACAACTGAAAATTTTTTTTACGATTAAACCCAAATGTTACTAATTTTAGTTCAATAAAGATATACAACATAGTAATCAGTGTTGCCGTTTCGGTACAATTGTGCTGAATTCAGTACGATTTCATGGATAAAGTACGTGAAAGTAGCAATTCAGTACAAAATTTTTAATCACTACAAACGTACTGAAATCAGTAGATTTTTAAGGAATCCAGTACAACCTTTTTGAATGTACCGTTTCTAATCTTACCACAATTTATTCAATCGTAATTTTCAGTATTTCTTGCAAGTTTTGTTTTACCTTATTACTAAAAAAAAAAGGTCCCAATTTTCTCTCTCAATTCAGTAAATTTTTTTCATTTTCGCTACGAACTTTTGGTACATTTATTTTCTTGCGTGCGGCAACACTGATAGTAATATCTTATGCTAACTAGCGCTATCTACCATTGCCACTAGAACTAACACTGGAATCATCATATGGCTTAAAAAACATGTTAAAAATAAAAAGAAAGTGCGGAAAGGTGACTAACACTCGATTAACTTCACTTATAAAACTTCTATTATATGATAACTAACTTCAGGTTTAAAATGTCAACCTCAATTTTGACATATTTGTAATCTTCATTAAAAATCCTTTAAAATGAGTACAAACACGATATATTTATCTTCAATATTAATGAAGTTATGGTTAACTTCCGGTTAAGAATGTCAACGTCAATTTCGACATATTTGTAATCGTCGTGAAAAATCCTTTAAAATGAGTCCAAACATGATACGTTTAATTCCAATATTACTCGAGATATAAGCAACTTCCGGTTTGAAATGTCAATGTCATTTTGACATATTCTTAATTTTTATAAAATGTCTTAATATTTGTCACAAAAACAAAAATATAATAAAAAAAAATAAAAAATTAAGGTTGGTATTAATATTTAAAAATTAAATTGCTATCTTCATTGTTGCTAACTTCGGGTTTAATGTTTTTTATTCTAACTTTTTTGTTTTTTGAGATAAGTGCGTCATCTTTGGACTCATTTTAAAGGTTTTTTAATGAAGATGACAAATATGTCAAAATTGACGTTGACGTTTCAAACCGGAAGTGATCGTATTTCCGTTAATATTAAAGTTAAATATGTCGAGTTTGGACTCATTTTAAAGGATTTTTTATGAAGATTACGAATATATAATAAAATTAAAGTTGACATTGACAACTGAAAATTTTTTTTACGATTAAACCCAAATGTTACTAATTTTAGTTCAATAAAAATATACAACATAGTAATCAGTGTTGCCGTTTCGGTACAATTGTGCTGAATTCAGTACGATTTCATGGATAAAGTACGTGAAAGTAGCAATTCAGTACAAAATTTTTAATCACTACAAATGTACTGAAATCAGTAGATTTTTAAGGAATCCAGTACAACCTTTTTGAATGTACCTNATCAGTGTTGCCGTTTCGGTACAATTGTGCTGAATTCAGTACGATTTCATGGATAAAGTACGTGAAAGTAGCAATTCAGTACAAAATTTTTAATCACTACAAATGTACTGAAATCAGTAGATTTTTAAGGAATCCAGTACAACCTTTTTGAATGTACCGTTTCTAATCTTACCACAATTTATTCAATCGCAATTTTCAGTATTTCTTGCAAGTTTTGTTTTACCTTATTACTAAAAAAAAAGGTCCCAATTTTCTCTCTCAATTCAGTACATTTTTTTCATTTTCGCTACGAACTTTTGGTACATTTATTTTCTTGCGTGCGGCAACATTGATAGTAATATCTTATGCTAACTAGCGCTATCTACCACTGCCACTAGAACTAACACTGGAATCATCATATGGCTTAAAAAAACATGTTAAAAATAAAAAGAAAGTGCGGAAAGGTGACTAACACTAGATTAACATCAGTTATAAAACTTCTATTATATGATAACTAACTTCAGGTTTAAAATGTCAACCTCAATTTTGACATATTTGTAATCTTCATTAAAAATCCTTTAAAATGAGTACAAACACGACATATTTATCTTCAATATTAATGAAGTTATGGTCAACTTCCGGTTAAGAATGTCAACGTCAATTTTGACATATTTGTAATCGTCGTGAAAAATCCTTTAAAATGAGTCCAAACATGATACGTTTAATTCCAATATTACTCGAGATATAAGCAACTTCCGGTTTGAAATGTCAATGTCATTTTGACATATTCTTAATTTTTATAAAATGTCTTAATATTTGTCACAAAAACAAAAATATAATAAAAAAAAATAAAAAATTAAGGTTGGTATTAATATTTAAAAATTAAATTGCTATCTTCATTGTTGCTAACTTCGGGTTTAATGTTTTTTATTCTAACTTTTTTGTTTTTTGAGATAAGTGCGTCATGTTTGGACTCATTTTAAAGGTTTTTTAATGAAGATGACAAATATGTCAAAATTGACGTTGACGTTTCAAACCGGAAGTGATTGTATTTCCATTAATATTAAAGTTAAATATGTCGAGTTTGGACTCATTTTAAAGGATTTTTTATGAAGTTGACAAATATGTCAAAATTAAAACTTGAAAGTTCGAACTTTTTGGTTTTTTGAGATAAATGCGCCATGTGTGCTGCGGAACCGTTGTAATCATCGATGCAAAAACGCTAAAAGATTGCACTACTGTCAGAGGTTGTCTGGAGCTACTCATAAGACATTTTGGTAAACAATGCGATCACTTGGTGTTATACAGGGTAATTAAAATTCGACCCCCACCATTGGGACCTCAGAAATCATAAATATGATACAGAAATGGTTAAATAGGGACAAAGTTGCGTATCTTAGAGCTCATCATCGTTGTTAAATTGTTTTAACGAATTAATCCGTTACTTTTGGGAAGCACTATATACAGGTGTCTCGCGTAACTGGTTCGTTAGAACTTTTTCGTGTTCCACTATTCATAGAGATTTGAAAGTTTGGTAGCATGGGTTGTTCATGCAGAACTTTCGATCTAAAATATTTTCAAGATGGCCGCCACTTCCGGTCTACCTAAACCCGAAACTTTCTAGTTCTCGAAACTGTTATTCTGTTATTTATCTAAATATTTGTTTTTAAGGCAATAAACATTATTATTATTATTATTTTAGGTCTTTACCTACCAGACAGCCTGAAAATCTTTAAAAACGATAAAACGTCGCTATAACGCGATCCAATTGTAGTTAGTTTTAGGTTTTTAATTTCAATTTTCTTTTTTTTCTAGATGGATGAGGAAGAGAATAAATCAAAAAGAAAAATCTTATCATTTCTTTGTGGTAAAACGGGGCTGTTATTCCTCGTAATTTTGTACACATTGTTCGGTGCCCTCGTCTTTAAGGCTTTGGAGGGTGGAACGGAGTCGGGAATCCCGCAGGATCTCCAACGGAGTCGAGAGGATTGCCTGCGAGAACTGTGGCTTATTACAGGTAAGAAGTGAGCCCCACTGATCGAGTTACCCATTAGGATTTTCATCGACTCGTCCAATTTGGGAGTCTCGCAAAATCCGATTTTACGTAATTTATAATCCCAACGTGTTCCAATTTTAGTACTTCGGGGAGGCCGCGATTCAATTTCGCGTTTCTTCGCTTGCCAGGAAAACCGTTCAATTAATCGTCACCGAAACGAAATTTACATCTAAATCTCGCTTAATCGATTCAGTTTAAAACGGCGAAAAGTCAGAAACAGACACCCAATTCTTTACGAGATCATTTATTTTTTTTTCTTTTCGTCCTATGATCCCGTAATTTAATCCCACCTCGTTGTCTACCACTTCCAATTGGAGATTTTCCAAGTTGAGATAATTAGATCGTTTGATGAAGCTGATTAATCGCAAATGATGACTCCCTGGTAAAATAACCTGGGGTTATCTTATCGTCAAGCCATAAATCGTCTTGAGCGATAAAAAAAAGGTTCGTTCTCTTAAAATCCACACCCTTTGACCTCGCCACAAATCATTTTTATCTCCTCAAAATGTATTACGTCGACGCTGTTTTTATAATATTTCTTTTAATGCACTAATTTTAAAATTTAAATGAAACATAATCAATACTCTGTTATTTCTTGCAAGAATTTAAATGCACCATAAAAAATAACATGGTAATAAAAACGCCATAAAAACATGTTCGTACAAACAACTTTGGAGAGGGCTAATTAACAAATAGACATTGTTAGAAAGCTCTTACAAACGTTTATCCTCCGAGCCAAAGCACACAAAGCTCTGAGGGGCAGTCTTAATCTGCGGTTTCCCAAACATTTACCCCGAACTTATTCTTCCCCTCCGAGTCTCCAGATGGTGTCCCAAACGCAAACAGACTCGCCTAAAGTCTCTCAGTTTGAATTTGCTTTTTATTTATATCTTTTAGAAAAGACAATCAAGCAATAACAACACGATTTTAATAAAGACGTGAATTAATTGGATTTTTGTTAAATGTTTTTTAATTAATTTGTAATACGACTACTACTAAGTAGACTTAGATACAATGAAGTCAAAAGGAAAATAAAAATAACTATAAAGTAACTCTATCCAACCTTAATATACTACATATAGCATTAGTTCTAGTTTTACACTATCACTAGAACTAACACAAGACCTAGAACTAGAATCATTCGGCTTTAGCCGTCTTGAGAGACGTGCGGCTAAACCTGAATGTTTCTAGGTCTAAGTCTAATGTTAGTTTTAGTTTTACACTATCACTAGAATTAACACTATACCTAAAACTAGAATCATTTGTGTTTAGCCGCACGTTTCTAAAAACGGCTAAACTCAAATGATTCTAGTTCTAGGTCTAGTGTTAGTTCTAGTTTTAATTCAATAAATAATAACGAAAAACTTTATTTTTAGATCTAAAAGCTTAATTAAGCTTTTAGATCTAGTTTTAAATCATTAGAACTAACACTAGACCTAGAACTAGAAACATTCGGGTTTAGCCGTACGTCTATTAAGACGGCTAAACCCGAATGGTTCTAGTTCTAGGTCTATTGTGCGACCAGTTGGATTTGGCCGGCGGAAAATATGCGAACTATTATCGGAAATACCTTACCCCTCACCTCCTTGACCTATATATTCGGCTGTAGTACAGTCAAGTTACCAAATAAAACAATATGTATTTCTGACATTTCATTTCNATTGCAATCCTTAACGCATAACCAGTTGTCTTCCCCACGATTTATTAATGTTTTTAAATACGCTTGGTTTGCATCTGGATATATAGAGGAGAGACCAGAACAGTTTGAAAATCCCGTGGTGATTTGCTTTTCCAATGAAAAACCTACGTGCGATATCTGTGAAGATATAGTTGTTATAACTTGTGCTACACCATGCACAAGTTATAACAATCGTTGTGTTTAAAACATTTTTTCCATGATTTTCATTATTGCCAACAATATATTGAATAAAAGAAGTAAAAAAAAAAGAAATTAAATTAATAACGTAGAATACAATTTGTGATAGTCTTGTGACAATTCTTTTGTCAGTTACTTTTTAACTCATTATTAACAAAAATTTATATAATTGTCCTAACTTTTGTGTTATTTAAATAGATTTTTTTAAATTTCCAACCCTTATAACTCGCCCCAGGGGCTTTATTAGCACGTATAAAAAAACACGTAAACCTTATTTTTGGCCATACTATCGCTGTACCAAATTTCAACAAAATCGGTGAGGGACAGTTCTGATACTTCCCTTGTTAGATACAATGAAGTCATAAGGAAAATATACCAACCCAACAATAAAAACAAACAAAAATAACTATAAAGTAGTTATTTTAAGACCTAGAACTAGAATCATTCGGCTTTAGCCGTCTTGAGAGACGTGCGGCTAAACCTGAATGTTTCTAGTTCTAGGTCTAGTGTTAGTTCTAGTTTTAATTCAATAAATAATAACGAAAAACTTTATTTTTAGATCTAAAAGCTTAATTAATCTTCTAAAAAAATTTATTTCGTTAAGATCGAATCAAATTTTCTTTATAATCCGCCATTTTGTTCTTATTATTATCGAATTTGATTAATCCAACATCGTATTCGTAATCTACATTAAATTCTCTTTAAAATGAGCCCAAACTCGATGGGGTTATCTTAAAAGATAACAAACTCCTGATTGTCACTTTTTTGAGGTTATGTCAAAATGAAATGTGGGATATCGCGGGTGTTTCTTGAGATAATCGAGTCGAGTTTGGACTCAATTTGAAGCATTTTTAATTCCCCACACGATCGTGAATAAATAAAAAACCTAACCTCACTTTATAAACGTCAAATTAATATTATTTGATTAATAATTTTAATTAAATAATAGCGATATTCTATATTTTTACTTAAAAGTCCCCCGCGAACTTAATTTCGTTCAAATCGTATCATTTTTCATTGAATTATCCGCCATTTTGTCTTTATTTTGACAGAATTTAATTAAACCAACATCGTATTCTTAATCTATATTAAATTCTCTTAAAAACGAGCCCAAACTCGGTCAAGTTATCTTAAAAGACAGCAAACTTCCGATTGTCACTTTTTTGAGGTTATGTCAAAATTAAATGTTGGATATCTCGGGTGTTCTTTAAGATAATTGGGTCGTGTTTGGATTCGATTTAAAGGGATTTTTAATTCCCCACTCGATTATGAATAAAAAAAGAAACTAACCTCACTTTGTAAATGTCAAATTGATATTGTTTGATATTTTTCGCCAATTTGATTAATAATTTTAATTAAATAATAATAAAATTCTTTATTTCTAGATGTAAAAATACCCGGCGAATTTAATTTCGTTGAAATCGAATCATTTTTCTTAAATCATCTTCCATTTTGTTTTTATTACTAACGAATTTGTTTAATCTAACATCGTATTCGTAATCTACATTAAATTCCCTTTAAAATGAGCCTAAACTCGGTCGAGTTATCTTAAAAAACAACATACACCACCAACTTCCGGTTGTCACTTTTTTAAGGTTATGTCAAAATTAAATGTGGGATATCTCGGGTGTTTTTTAAGATAATTAGGTCGTGTTTGGACTTAAATTAAAGGATTTTTAATTTCCCACGTGATTACGCACAAAGATAAAACCTAACCTCACTTTGTAAACGTCAAATTAATTTTATTTGGTATTATACGCCATTTTAACGCAACGTTTTGTTTTTATTTGTAATTATTGACTTATTTTTTCAGTTAACGTCAAATTATTTATTGCTAACCATTAAAACACTACGTCATCGTAAAGAGAAAACAAATCTCTATCAAATGAGTCTAACGAAAGGATACATTTCCATTTAAAAAACTTCAAGTGTTATTCGTTGCTCATTTGTTTTCTGAAATAAAAACAACTGAATGCCAAGATATACCATATTCCATACATAAAGAGCACCTGTATATTATATTATACTTTTCTTCCAATGACGTCACGTTTCCTACCTCACCCGTCAACGTCAATTTGTTCGTGTTGGATAACTTTATAACCAATACTCAACGGACCTTGCCTTAACATTAAGATAAGAATGGAAATTAAGTAGCGTAGAAACAAAAGACGATAGCTGTTCGGAGTTTTCGGAATTAGCATTTTCTCGAAAAACGAGATCATGACATGTAAGCTACTTTTTTTCTATCTCTTTTAGTTTCGGAAATAGCCTATGCGGACATCGAAATTGGGACACCCTATACCTTGACAGAATATCATTTTTAAGGATCTTCATTATGCCATAGATTCTCTCTGTCTAATACATAACAGATATACAGGGTGTCCCGTTAAGCGTACGGAGCGGCTGTATCTCTAGAACAGTAAGGCCAAGAGGTTTGGGAAAAAAATCCTTATAAGCAAAGTGACCAAGAGAANTTAAGGTTATGTCAAAATTAAATGTGGGATATCTCGGGTGTTTTTTAAGATAATTAGGTCGTGTTTGGACTTAAATTAAAGGATTTTTAATTTCCCACGTGATTATGCACAAAGATAAAACCTAACCTCACTTTGTGAAAGTCAAATTAATTTTATTCGGTATTATACGCCATTTTAACGCAACGTTTTGTTTTTATTTGTATTTATTGACTTATTTTTTCAGTTAACGTCAATTTATTCGTGTTGGATAACTTTATAACCAATACTCAACGGACCTTGCCTTAACATTAAGATAAGAATGGAAATTAAGTAGTGTTGGATTTCCAACCGTTAGAAAGGTAGCTGAAATTACTACCTAGATAAGTGATGTCTTATCTTAACCTGCTGAAAATATGTACCTTGACAGAATATGATTTTTAAGGGTCTTGATTATGCCATAGATTCTCTCTGTCTAATACATAACAGATATATTAGCACGAAATCGTCAGTTTTAAAACACTCTAGCGCCTCGCCCGCAAGCGACCTCGGCGAAGTGATGATAAGCCATTGTTTAAGCAAGTGTTGTACGTATCATCTAACACCGCCGAGGTCGTTTGCGGGCGAGGAGCTAG